TTTAAAATTATATTATTTTAATTAATTTTTATTAAAAATACTATAATATTTTAATTTTTAAATAAAAATAATGTTATTTTATTTTTTTCTAATAATACTTCATTACAACATCACAATATTAAATGTATTTTCACTTAATTTTTTTTACAAATTCAATTGCTAAATACTAATTTTGTATTATATATCAAAAAATAACTATTTTACCACGCAATTTTGCCGATTAATAAAAGAAAATATGATTGTAAGGCACTTTTTGTTTCTGTAATAGTTTGTCAAGATAAGAATCAAACAATTTATTAAAAATAAATATTCACTGAAAAAATAATGATACGCTTTTATTGTTTTACCACTAACCTGATCAAACCTTGGCGTTGCTCACCCTTTCGTGGCAGTCTGAATTGCTTTCTGGAAAAGTCCCACAATGGAAATTTATACTCCTTACCAGTATAACCCAAACAGCATCAGGATTTGCGAATGTCAAGAAACTACAACTAAGGTGCATAAGACGACGTATAACTCAATTCATATGAAATCTTGTTGCAACATCATGTTCAAAACCAAGCCAGCAAAAGGAAAAAAAATGTCTAGAGGCTACAATACCAAAGTTTAGACACACCACGTTTTCTATATTAAGATACATATGTTCTGATAACACAAGGTTTAAATATTTGTCCTTAACACCACAATACCAAACCAGCACATGAAATTAAATACTAACAACACAAAGTCACACAAGGAGTTCAAAAACTCTGAAGACTAGTTTTAAGAATCTAAATAATATTATAGGTGCCAAGAAAATTGCAGCTTGCAGTCACTAAAATTCAAGGAGCACCCCATACGACCTGTCAGTAAGAAAATATCAACAACATGTAGAGATTGCATAGGAGATGCGTCTTTATGGGAAATATCATCAAAGTAAAGTTAATGGAATCAGAGAATCCACTCACCATATTGAAGATCAAACCAACACCAACTTTTATAAAGCATAAATTTCATTCTTTAGAGTCACCAACACTCTACAGGTCATAAGGAATATTTTAAAGGAGGAAAACAAAAATTGCAGGAAAATCTTCACAATTAAAATTTATGAAGTTACCACAACCTTGCACCATATTTGATTTGATCGCAAGAAAGCTATAAAAAATGAAAAACAAAAGGAAATCTTTTGAGCAAATAAATACCTTTTTTTGTGAACAAAAGCTGTATTGTGGGGTTAAGACCACATTCCCAACATCCTTCATCTTCATCATCTCCTGATAATTTCACTTTATGCAGTTTTGGTGTACTTACTTCTCCCCCAGAGAAAGTCATCATATATGGACATGCCATCACAATTACATCTTCCAAAGATGTGAATTCAAAGTTGCAATTACCCAAACAGAAGCTTCCAAGTCTCGGTAAACCTATAAGTTCCAAAGACTTCAGTTTGGTTAAAACAACGCCGCCCTTCAAGTTAGCCCCTTCTTCTGAGATGACTTGCTCCAACAGTTCACAGTTTTGTACTCTCATCTTTTTGAGAGAAACAAGGCTCAATGCCATGGAAAGAGTTAACAAGTATCTCAAGTTACCACAATTACAAATTTCTAGAGAGCAAAGCCAACTGAAATTTAAAATTTCTTGAGGTTTCTTGCTCCTTATTCCTATCAACCCAAGAAACTGCCAGAGTTTCAGATGTGTTACCACAGCATATCCAATCTACAAAATGCAATACTTTGCTAGTTATTACACAAGAAATCCAAATAAATTTGTGGAGGGAAAAATGGAAAAACAAAAAGACGAAACAGTAGCTTCTAGCTTGCATTTTATGACATGACTAACAAAGAGCTATCAACCTAACCCAAGCTTTTGTAAAGGCTAAGTTTAGTCATTAGTCTTCTTTAGTGAGTTGTCATCAACACCTGAGGCACAACATTGCAAGAAAAAGTTTTCAAACTAAAAAGAATCAATGGAGTTTACTGTTATCATCCACCATGTTTATTTGATCATGTCTGCAACAGGATAATTAAGTAGAAGGAAAGACAGCTTT